TGCACTCTTACAACCATCTACAACATATTACAATATAAACACCATAAAGTAAACATTGTCATATATCATCAACAGTAGATCATAAGCAATCTATTGGCATAAATGTGCAGTATTCATTGATTGTGAACAATTCCAAAATTTAAGATAATTAAGACTTTTGTCATACCATTTAAAATGTCTAATATGTTTTAATGACCTTAAACTTGATCAAACAAAATGTAAGACTTTTGAAAAGACCTGCAGGAAACCTCAACCTGGGGGCCAGGGATCACTAGGGGGTGCCTCAGGATGACAAAGTATTTGAATAAAAAATTATTATTAATATATTAAGATAATCAAACTCTATTAAATCAAGATTTTTGTTCCATCAATAACTAACCCGTCTTGCCACTTGTAGTCACTGGTGGGCATGATCTCTGCTGAGAGAGTCCCTGCCTCTTCTCCTCCAGTAACTGTCTCACATCTGTCACTTTGTCTGATGTAGCCTTGGACGAGCCGCCTCCTTCTCCACCACCAATGCGACTCTTAACACTGCTACTTGTTTCAGTCTTTATAGAGTTTCTAAGGCAGTAGAAAGGGCCAAAATGCACAATTACCATTAAGAAACTTGATCATCATGAAATCTTTTCAGCATGAGGGTCACATTTACATCCAAATAGTAGGGAATGAAATGCAAATCCTAAAGTGTAGCAACCGCTCTATCATTTGGAGTCAAAAAGAAACCTGCACTCACCGAAGACTGCGAAGGTTGGTTTCTACCTCGTCGGCATACATGGTCATCTTCATGCTCTTTTTGGGAGAGGGCGTTGAGATCATTTTCAGTTCCAGATCGTAGTCCATCTCATCTGAATCTGAAGATGCAGGTGATGGGCCTCCTAAGCGACTACGCAGGCCTCCTTCCCCGAGCCGTGGCCCCCGTTCCCTGTCTCCCCGATCTCTGTACTCCACTACTCTATCGTCATCATCCATGTCTTCCTCTCCATCCTCTTCTTCCTCCTCCTCTTCTTCTATAGGCTCTTCTGGCAGATTCACCAGGTCAGCTGAGAGAAGCAAAAGAGCTCAAATTGACAGACCAAAAACAACTAACAAGACAAAGATGTTTGTGATTTAAGAGAAATTTATGTATGTATTTTTAACGTCATGTAAGCAGCAAGGCTATCTATCTTCATGGTGAAAACAGAATAAATAACAAAAGTACAAAGAAGCTATATTAGACATTTAAAGTTAATACTAGACAAAAAAAATCTAAAATACATTCAGGTGATACTTTTTTTGTTGTTGCCTTTTTCCGTTAAAAACAGTGCAGTGCAGTCCATAAAAAATGTTTAAGGGTCATTAAGGGAGATTTACCAGAGTGTCGATGAGTGTAAGGTGGGGTGTGTCCCATGCTGTCTCCAATCAGAGGCTTTTTGGTCTTCAGAATGTCACGCTTGATTCTGTGCGTGTGATATCTCCGTTTCCTAAGAAGTTGACAATTCCATATTATACAGTCACCCCACTTCAACCAGTTAAGTAAACTGCAAAAATTGCTCAGAAAAGTGAAGTTATACTTCTATTCAAAAGTTTGGGGTAGGTAAGATTTTGCAAGAAGTCTTGTTTTTGAAAGAAGTCTCTTACATTCACCAAGGCTGCATTTATTTGATCAAAATACCGTAAAAACTGTAATATTGTGAAATATTATTACAATTGAAAAAAAAATTCAGTTTGAATATATTTTAAAATAATTTATTCCTGTGACAACGAAGCTGATTTTAAAGCGGAAATAATTGTAATATGCTGATTTGGTGATCAAGAAACATTTATTATTATTAATGTTGAAAACTTCATTTTTCAAAATGGAAATTCATTTTTTCAGGATTCTTTGATGAATAGAAAGTTCAAAAGAACCGCATTTATTTGAAATGATAAATGTCTTTACTGTCACTTTTGATCTATTTAATGCATCCTTTGCTGAATAAACATCAATTTAAAAAAAAAAAAAAAGCAACCAAACTTTTGAAAGATAGTATAATTCTATGAAAACCCCTAACAATGTTTGCAGGTGCCACATGATATTTTGTATCTAGCGAATTCAATTTTTTTCTTACCAAGAGTTACTTAAGATGCCTTTCATGCCGCCATAGTTTGGATTCCCATATTTCATGTAGTATCGACTTCTCCTAGCCGCACCCAACTCCTTTTTGTCATCTGATGGAAAATAACAGCCAAGAATGTTAAAATGTCTCATTGCACAAGTTGTGAAAAGTCTGTTCTAGGGATGAACCGAAATTTCGGCCACTAAAAGAGAAAAAACGGCCACAAATATGAGCCGAAAATAACATATGCAGTGTCCAGAGAGCAGGTTTCACTCTCCCTCTAGCCGTTGTCAACTTGCGTGGTGTGACCCTACACTCAATATTCTGCTCTATGAATGCGGGTTCCGCTGAGTTAGTCACGACCCATGAGAACGCTCCATTTATGTACCGCTCACGCTCACCAGAAAAGCAAAGTCCGCTCAAAT